TGTCTGTGGCCTGTGTCTGTGTCATGTGCCCTGTGACTGTGTCCTGTGTCTGTGTTTGTGTCTATGTCATGTGTCCTGTGCCTGTGCCCTGTGTCTGTGTCCTGTGCATGTGCCCTGTGCCTGTGTCCTGTGTCTGTGTCATGTGTTTGTGCCCTGTGCCTGTGTCCTGTGTTTGTGTCCTGTGTCCTGTGTCTGTGTCATGTGTTTGTGTCCTGTGCCTGTGTCCTGTGTTTGTGTCCTGTGTCATGTGTCTGTGTCATGTGCCCTGTGCCTGTGTCTGTGTCTGTGTCATGTGTCCTGTGTCATGTGTCCTGTGCCTGTGCCCTGTGTCTGTGTCCTGTGCATGTGCCCTGTGCCTGTGTCCTGTGTCTGTGTCCTGTGTCTGTGTCATGTGTTTGTGCCCTGTGCCTGTGTCCTGTGTTTGTGTCCTGTGTCTGTGTCATGTGTTTGTGCCCTGTGCCCTGTGCCTGTGTCCTGTGTCTGTGTCTGTGTCATGTGTTTGTGCCCTGTGCCTGTGTCCTGTGTTTGTGTCCTGTGTCATGTGTTTGTGTCCTGTGCCTGTGTCCTGTGCCTGTGTCCTGTGTTTGTGTCCTGTGTCATGTGTCTGTGTCATGTGCCCTGTGCCTGTGTCCTGTGCATGTGTCCTGTGCCTGTGTCCTGCGTTTGTGTCCTGTGTCCTGTGCATGTGCATATGGCATTCTGGGGCAGAGCTGGACCCCCGCAACCTGTGAAAGTAGATGTAACCAAGAGTTCATGTCTTTTCCTACTTACGAGATGATGCGCATCTCAACACGAACCCCTCTGTCCTGTGCATGTGTCATGTGTCCTGTGCCTGTGTCCTGTGTCCTGTGTCCTGTGTCTATGTCCTGTGCATGTGTCCTGTGTCTGTGTCCTGTGCCTGTGTCTTGTGTCTGTGTCATGTGCCTGTGTCATGTGTCCTGTGCATGTGTCCTGTGCCTGTGACCTGTATCTGTGTCGGTGTCATGTGTCTGTGTCATGTGTCTGTGTCATGTGTCTGTGTCATGTGCCTTGTGTCTGTGTCCTGTGTCCTCTGTCTGTGTCATGTGCCCTGTGTCTGTGTCCTGTGTCTGTGTCATGTGTCATGTGTCTGTGTCCTGTGTCTGTGTCATGTGTCCTGTGTCTGTGTCATGTGCCCTGTGTCTGTGTTCCGTGTCTGTGTCCTGTGTCCTCTGTCTGTGTCATGTGTCTGTGTCCTGTGTCTGTGTCCTGTGTCTGTGTCCTGTGTCTGTGTCCTGAGTCTGTGTCCTGTGTCTTTGTCGTGTGTCTGTGTCCTGTGTCTGTGTCCTGTGTCTGTGTCCTGTGTCTGTGTCATGTGTATGCGTCCTGTGTCTGTGTCATGTGCCCTGTGCCTGTGTCCTGTGTCTGTGTCATGTGTTTGTGTCCCGTGCCTGTGTCCTGTGTTTGTGTCCTGTGTCATGTGTCTGCGTCATGTGCCCTGTGCCTGTGTCCTGTACATGTGTCCTGTGCCTGTGTCCTGTGTTTATGTCCTGTGTCCTGTGCATATGGCATTCTGGGGCAGAGCTGGCCCCCCGCAACCTGTGAAAGTAGATGTAACCAAGAGTTCATGTCTTTTCCTACTTACGAGATGATGCGCATCTCAACACGAACCCCTCTGTCCTGTGCATGTGTCATGTGTCCTGTGTCTGTGCCTGTGCATGTGTCCTGTGTCTGTGTCCTGTGTCCTGTGTCTATGTCCTGTGCCTGTGTCCTGTGTCTGTGTCCTGTCCCTGTGTCCTGTGTCCTGTGCCTGTGTCATGTGTCATATGTCATGTGCATGTGTCCTGTGCCTGTGACCTGTGCCCTGTCCCCTGTGCCTGTGTCCTGTGCCTGTGTCATCTGCATGTGTCCTGTGTCCTGTGTCTGTGTCATGTGTCCTGTGTCCTGTGTCTGTGTCATGTGTCCTGTGTCCTGTGTCTGTGTCATGTGTCTGTGTCATGTGCCCTGTGTCTGTGTTCTGTGTCCTCTGTCTGTGTCATGTGCCCTGTGTCTGTGTCCTGTGTCTGTGTCCTGTGTCATGTGTCTGTGTCCTGTGTCCTGTGTCCTGTGTCTGTGTCATGTGCCCTGTGCCCTGTGCCTGTGTTCCGTGTCCTGTTTTCCGTGTCCTGTGTCTGTGTCCTGTGTCTGTGTCCTGTGTCTGTGTCCTGTGTCTGTGTCCTGTGTCTATGTCATGTGTCCTGTGCCTGTGTCCTGTGTCTGTGTCATGTGTCTGTGTCATGTGTCTGTGTCATGTGCCCTGTGCCCGTGTCCTGTGTCCTCTGTCTGTGTCATGTGCCCTGTGTCTGTGTCCTGTGTCTGTGTCATGTGTATGTGTCATGTGTCATGTGCCCTGTCTGTGTCCTGTGTCTGTGTCATGTGCCCTGTGCCTGTGTCCTGTGTCTGTCATGTGTCTGTGTCCTGTGTATGTACCCTGTGCCTGTGTCCTGTGTCTGTGTCCTGTGTCTGTGGCCTGTGTCTGTGTCATGTGCCCTGTGACTGTGTCCTGTGTCTGTGTTTGTGTCTATGTCATGTGTCCTGTGCCTGTGCCCTGTGTCTGTGTCCTGTGCATGTGCCCTGTGCCTGTGTCCTGTGTCTGTGTCCTGTGTCTGTGTCATGTGTTAGTGCCCTGTGCCTGTGTCCTGTGTTTGTGTCCTGTGTCCTGTGTCTGTGTCATGTGTTTGTGTCCTGTGCCTGTGTCCTGTGTTTGTGTCCTGTGTCATGTGTCTGTGTTATGTGCCCTGTGCCTGTGTCTGTGTCTGAGTCATGTGTCCTGTGTCATGTGCCCTGTGCCTGTGTCCTGTGTCTGTGTCCTGTGACTGTGTCCTGTGTCTGTGTTTGTGTCTATGTCATGTGTCCTGTGCCTGTGCCCTGTGTCTGTGTCCTGTGCCTGTGCCCTGTGCCTGTGTCCTGTGTCTGTGTCCTGTGTCTGTGTCCTGTGTCTGTGTCATGTGTTTGTGCCCTGTGCCTGTGTCCTGTGTTTGTGTCCTGTGTCTGTGTCATGTGTTTGTGCCCTGTGCCTGTGTCCTGTGTCTGTGTCTGTGTCATGTGTTTGTGCCCTGTGCCTGTGTCCTGTGTTTGTGTCCTGTGTCATGTGTTTGTGTCCTGTGCCTGTGTCCTGTGTTTGTGTCCTGTGTCATGTGTCTGTGTCATGTGCCCTGTGCCTGTGTCCTGTGCATGTGTCCTGTGCCTGTGTCCTGCGTTTGTGTCCTGTGTCCTGTGCATGTGCATATGGCATTCTGGGGCAGAGCTGGACCCCCGCAACCTGTGAAAGTAGATGTAACCAAGAGTTCATGTCTTTTCCTACTTACGAGATGATGCGCATCTCAACACGAACCCCTCTGTCCTGTGCATGTGTCATGTGTCCTGTGCCTGTGTCCTGTGTCCTGTGTCCTGTGTCTGTGTCCTGTGCCTGTGTCCTGTGTCTGTGTCATGTGCCTGTGTCATGTGTCCTGTGCCTGTGTCCTGTGCCTGTGTCCTGTGCCTGTGTCCTGTGCATGTGTCCTGTGTCTGTGTCCTGTGCCTGTGTCCTGTGTCTGTGTCATGTGCCTGTGTCATGTGTCCTGTGCATGTGTCCTGTGCCTGTGACCTGTCCCCTGTGCCTGTGTCCTGTGTCTGTGTCATCTGCATGTGTCCTGTGTCCTGTGTCCTGTGTCTGTGTCCTGTGCCCTGTGTCCTGTATCTGTGTCTGTGTCATGTGTCTGTGTCATGTGCCTTGTGTCTGTGTCCTGTGTCCTCTGTCTGTGTCATGTGCCCTGTGTCTGTGTCCTGTGTCTGTGTCCTGTGTCCTGTGTCTGTGTCATGTGCCCTGTGTCTGTGTTCCGTGTCTGTGTCCTGTGTCCTCTGTCTGTGTCCTGTGTCTGTGTCCTGTGTCTGTGTCCTGTGTCTGTGTCCTGTGTCTGTGTCCTGTGTCTGTGTCCTGTGTCTGTGTCCTGTGTCTGTGTCATGTGTCTGTGTCATGTGTATCCGTCCTGTGTCTGTGTCATGTGCCCTGTGCCTGTGTCCTGTGTCTGTGTCATGTGTTTGTGTCCTGTGCCTGTGTCCTGTGTTTGTGTCCTGTGTCATGTGTCTGCGTCATGTGCCCTGTGCCTGTGTCCTGTACATGTGTCCTGTGCCTGTGTCCTGTGTTTATGTCCTGTGTCCTGTGCATGTGCATATGGCATTCTGGGGCAGAGCTGGCCCCCCGCAACCTGTGAAAGTAGATGTAACCAAGAGTTCATGTCTTTTCCTACTTACGAGATGATGCGCATCTCAACACGAACCCCTCTGTCCTGTGCATGTGTCATGTGTCCTGTGTCTGTGCCTGTGCATGTGTCCTGTGTCTGTGTCCTGTGTCCTGTGTCTATGTCCTGTGCCTGTGTCCTGTGTCTGTGTCCTGTCCCTGTGTCCTGTGTCCTGTGCCTGTGTCATGTGTCATGTGCATGTGTCCTGTGCCTGTGACCTGTGCCCTGTCCCCTGTGCCTGTGTCCTGTGCCTGTGTCATCTGCATGTGTCCTGTGTCCTGTGTCTGTGTCATGTGTCCTGTGTCCTGTGTCTGTGTCATGTGTCTGTGTCATGTGCCCTGTGTCTGTGTTCTGTGTCCTCTGTCTGTGTCATGTGCCCTGTGTCTGTGTCCTGTGTCTGTGTCCTGTGTCATGTGTCTGTGTCCTGTGTCCTGTGTCTGTGTCCTGTGTCTGTGTCATGTGCCCTGTGCCTGTGTTCCGTGTCCTGTGTTCCGTGTCCTGTGTTCCGTGTCCTGTGTCTGTGTCCTGTGTCTGTGTCCTGTGTCTGTGTCCTGTGTCTGTGTCCTGTGTCTATGTTATGTGTCCTGTGCCTGTGTCCTGTGTCTGTGTCATGTGTCTGTGTCATGTGCCCTGTGCCTGTGTCCTGTGCCTGTGCCCTGTGCCTGTTGCCTGTGTTTGTGTCCTGTGTCCTGTGCATGTGCATCTGGCATTCTGGGGCAGAGCTGGCCCCCCGCAACCTGTGAAAGTAGATGTAACCAAGAGTTCATGTCTTTTCCTACTTACGAGATGATGCGCGTCTCAACACGACCCCCTCTGCGCAATCCCCTGCATCTGACTCCGTCGACGGCGTCCCCCGGGTTATATAGTCGATGGACCGCGTCCGATGTACGCCGTTTGTGACAGCGCTGTCCTCCTGTCCTTCCCCAACAGATGTCCTCAAATCCCGCACTTGTCCTGACGATGTCCTCAAGTCCCGCGCTTGTCCTGACGATGTCCTCAAGTCCCGCGCTTGTCCTGACGATGTCCTCAAATCCCGCACTTGTCCTGACGATGTCCTCAAGTCCCGCGCTTGTCCTGACGATGTCCTCAAGTCCCGCGCTTGTCCTGACGATGTCCTCAAGTCCTGCGCTTGTCCTGACGATGTCCTCAAGTCCTGCGCTTGTCCTGACGATGTCCTCAAGTCCCGCGCTTGTCCTGACGATGTCCTTCTCCGGGCTGGGATATCTGGTGCCTCCTTGTCGTCATCAAAGCTGACCTTCCGTGCCTCTTTTTTGTGTGCCCCCCGGGGTGGCACAGCGGTCAGATCCCCGGTTTCCATATGGGGGGACACCGGGTGAGCTGAAACATATCCAAGTTATCCAAGTAATGAGATACCATGTACTCTGACGACAAGGGTACAAACAATGAGCCATGTGATACCTTGTACATTGACGACAAGGGCAGAAACAATGAGCCATGAGATACCTTGTACATTGACGACAAGGGCAGAAACAATGAGTCATGAGATACCATGTACATTGACGACAAGGGCAGAAACAATGAGTCATGAGATACCTTGTACATTGACGACAAGGGTAGAAACAATGAGTCATGAGATACCATGTACATTGACGACAAGGGCAGAAACAATGAGTCATGAGATACCTTGTACATTGACGACAAGGGCAGAAACAATGAGTCATGAGATACCTTGTACATTGACGACAAGGGTAGAAACAATGAGTCATGAGATACCATGTACATTGACGACAAGGGCAGAAACAATGAGTCATGAGATACCATGTACATTGACGACAAGGGCAGAAACAATGAGTCATGAGATACCTTGTACATTGACGACAAGGGCAGAAACAATGAGTCATGAGATACCTTGTACATTGACAACAAGGGCAGAAACAATGAGTCATGAGATACCCTGTACATTGACGACAAGGGTACAAACAATGAGTCATGAGATACCTTGTACATTGACGACAAGGGCAGAAACAATGAGTCATGAGATACCTTGTACATTGACGACAAGGGCAGAAACAATGAGCCATGAGATACCTTGTACATTGACGACAAGGGCAGAAACAATGAGTCATGAGATACCATGTACATTGACGACAAGGGCAGAAACAATGAGTCATGAGATACCTTGTACATTGACAACAAGGGCAGAAACAATGAGCCATGAGATACCATGTACATTGACGACAAGGGTAGAAACAATGAGTCATGAGATACCATGTACATTGACGACAAGGGCAGAAACAATGAGTCATGAGATACCATGTACATTGACGACAAGGGCAGAAACAATGAGTCATGAGATACCTTGTACATTGACCACAAGGGCAGAAACAATGAGTCATGAGATACCATGTACATTGACGACAAGGGCAGAAACAATGAGTCATGAGATACCTTGTACATTGACGACAAGGGCAGAAACAATGAGTCATGAGATACCTTGTACATTGACAACAAGGGCAGAAACAATGAGCCATGTGATACCATGTACATTGACAACAAGGGCAGAAACAATGAGCCATGAGATACCTTGTACATTGACGACAAGGGTGTCTGTGTCTGTGTCCTGTGTCATGTGTCTGTGTCCTGTGTCCTGTGTCCTGTGTCTGTGTCATGTGCCCTGTGCCCTGTGCCTGTGTTCCGTGTCCTGTGTTCCGTGTCCTGTGTCTGTGTCCTGTGTCTGTGTCCTGTGTCTGTGTCCTGTGTCTATGTCATGTGTCCTGTGCCTGTGTCCTGTGTCTGTGTCATGTGTCTGTGTCATGTGCCCTGTGCCTGTGTCCTGTGCCTGTGCCCTGTGCCTGTTGCCTGTGTTTGTGTCCTGTGTCCTGTGCATGTGCATCTGGCATTCTGGGGCAGAGCTGGCCCCCCGCAACCTGTGAAAGTAGATGTAACCAAGAGTTCATGTCTTTTCCTACTTACGAGATGATGCGCGTCTCAACACGACCCCCTCTGCGCAATCCCCTGCATCTGACTCCGTCGACGGCGTCCCCCGGGTTATATAGTCGATGGACCGCGTCCGATGTACGCCGTTTGTGACAGCGCTGTCCTCCTGTCCTTCCCCAACAGATGTCCTCAAATCCCGCACTTGTCCTGACGATGTCCTCAAGTCCCGCGCTTGTCCTGACGATGTCCTCAAGTCCCGCGCTTGTCCTGACGATGTCCTCAAATCCCGCACTTGTCCTGACGATGTCCTCAAGTCCCGCGCTTGTCCTGACGATGTCCTCAAGTCCCGCGCTTGTCCTGACGATGTCCTCAAGTCCTGCGCTTGTCCTGACGATGTCCTCAAGTCCTGCGCTTGTCCTGACGATGTCCTCAAGTCCCGCGCTTGTCCTGACGATGTCCTTCTCCGGGCTGGGATATCTGGTGCCTCCTTGTCGTCATCAAAGCTGACCTTCCGTGCCTCTTTTTTGTGTGCCCCCCGGGGTGGCACAGTGGTCAGATCCCCGGTTTCCATATGGGGGGACACCGGGTGAGCTGAAACATATCCAAGTTATCCAAGTAATGAGATACCATGTACTCTGACGACAAGGGTACAAACAATGAGCCATGTGATACCTTGTACATTGACGACAAGGGCAGAAACAATGAGCCATGAGATACCTTGTACATAGACGACAAGGGCAGAAACAATGAGTCATGAGATACCATGTACATTGACGACAAGGGCAGAAACAATGAGTCATGAGATACCTTGTACATTGACGACAAGGGTAGAAACAATGAGTCATGAGATACCATGTACATTGACGACAAGGGCAGAAACAATGAGTCATGAGATACCTTGTACATTGACGACAAGGGCAGAAACAATGAGTCATGAGATACCTTGTACATTGACGACAAGGGCAGAAACAATGAGTCATGAGATACCTTGTACATTGACGACAAGGGCAGAAACAATGAGTCATGAGATACCATGTACATTGACGACAAGGGCAGAAACAATGAGTCATGAGATACCATGTACATTGACGACAAGGGCAGAAACAATGAGTCATGAGATACCTTGTACATTGACGACAAGGGCAGAAACAATGAGTCATGAGATACCTTGTACATTGACAACAAGGGCAGAAACAATGAGTCATGAGATACCCTGTACATTGACGACAAGGGTACAAACAATGAGTCATGAGATACCTTGTACATTGACGACAAGGGCAGAAACAATGAGTCATGAGATACCTTGTACATTGACGACAAGGGCAGAAACAATGAGCCATGAGATACCTTGTACATTGACGACAAGGGCAGAAACAATGAGTCATGAGATACCATGTACATTGACGACAAGGGCAGAAACAATGAGTCATGAGATACCATGTACATTGACGACAAGGGCAGAAACAATGAGTCATGAGATACCTTGTACATTGACAACAAGGGCAGAAACAATGAGCCATGAGATACCATGTACATTGACGACAAGGGTAGAAACAATGAGTCATGAGATACCATGTACATTGACGACAAGGGCAGAAACAATGAGTCATGAGATACCATGTACATTGACGACAAGGGCAGAAACAATGAGTCATGAGATACCTTGTACATTGACCACAAGGGCAGAAACAATGAGTCATGAGATACCATGTACATTGACGACAAGGGCAGAAACAATGAGTCATGAGATACCTTGTACATTGACGACAAGGGCAGAAACAATGAGTCATGAGATACCTTGTACATTGACAACAAGGGCAGAAACAATGAGCCATGTGATACCATGTACATTGACAACAAGGGCAGAAACAATGAGCCATGAGATACCTTGTACATTGACGACAAGGGTGTCTGTGTCTGTGTCCTGTGTCATGTGTCTGTGTCCTGTGTCCTGTGTCCTGTGTCTGTGTCATGTGCCCTGTGCCCTGTGCCTGTGTTCCGTGTCCTGTGTTCCGTGTCCTGTGTCTGTGTCCTGTGTCTGTGTCCTGTGTCTGTGTCCTGTGTCTATGTCATGTGTCCTGTGCCTGTGTCCTGTGTCTGTGTCATGTGTCTGTGTCATGTGCCCTGTGCCTGTGTCCTGTGCCTGTGCCCTGTGCCTGTTGCCTGTGTTTGTGTCCTGTGTCCTGTGCATGTGCATCTGGCATTCTGGGGCAGAGCTGGCCCCCCGCAACCTGTGAAAGTAGATGTAACCAAGAGTTCATGTCTTTTCCTACTTACGAGATGATGCGCGTCTCAACACGACCCCCTCTGCGCAATCCCCTGCATCTGACTCCGTCGACGGCGTCCCCCGGGTTATATAGTCGATGGACCGCGTCCGATGTACGCCGTTTGTGACAGCGCTGTCCTCCTGTCCTTCCCCAACAGATGTCCTCAAATCCCGCACTTGTCCTGACGATGTCCTCAAGTCCCGCGCTTGTCCTGACGATGTCCTCAAGTCCCGCGCTTGTCCTGACGATGTCCTCAAATCCCGCACTTGTCCTGACGATGTCCTCAAGTCCCGCGCTTGTCCTGACGATGTCCTCAAGTCCCGCGCTTGTCCTGACGATGTCCTCAAGTCCTGCGCTTGTCCTGACGATGTCCTCAAGTCCTGCGCTTGTCCTGACGATGTCCTCAAGTCCCGCGCTTGTCCTGACGATGTCCTTCTCCGGGCTGGGATATCTGGTGCCTCCTTGTCGTCATCAAAGCTGACCTTCCGTGCCTCTTTTTTGTGTGCCCCCCGGGGTGGCACAGTGGTCAGATCCCCGGTTTCCATATGGGGGGACACCGGGTGAGCTGAAACATATCCAAGTTATCCAAGTAATGAGATACCATGTACTCTGACGACAAGGGTACAAACAATGAGCCATGTGATACCTTGTACATTGACGACAAGGGCAGAAACAATGAGCCATGAGATACCTTGTACATAGACGACAAGGGCAGAAACAATGAGTCATGAGATACCATGTACATTGACGACAAGGGCAGAAACAATGAGTCATGAGATACCTTGTACATTGACGACAAGGGTAGAAACAATGAGTCATGAGATACCATGTACATTGACGACAAGGGCAGAAACAATGAGTCATGAGATACCTTGTACATTGACGACAAGGGCAGAAACAATGAGTCATGAGATACCTTGTACATTGACGACAAGGGCAGAAACAATGAGTCATGAGATACCTTGTACATTGACGACAAGGGCAGAAACAATGAGTCATGAGATACCATGTACATTGACGACAAGGGCAGAAACAATGAGTCATGAGATACCATGTACATTGACGACAAGGGCAGAAACAATGAGTCATGAGATACCTTGTACATTGACGACAAGGGCAGAAACAATGAGTCATGAGATACCTTGTACATTGACAACAAGGGCAGAAACAATGAGTCATGAGATACCCTGTACATTGACGACAAGGGTACAAACAATGAGTCATGAGATACCTTGTACATTGACGACAAGGGCAGAAACAATGAGTCATGAGATACCTTGTACATTGACGACAAGGGCAGAAACAATGAGCCATGAGATACCTTGTACATTGACGACAAGGGCAGAAACAATGAGTCATGAGATACCATGTACATTGACGACAAGGGCAGAAACAATGAGTCATGAGATACCTTGTACATTGACAACAAGGGCAGAAACAATGAGCCATGAGATACCATGTACATTGACGACAAGGGTAGAAACAATGAGTCATGAGATACCATGTACATTGACGACAAGGGCAGAAACAATGAGTCATGAGATACCATGTACATTGACGACAAGGGCAGAAACAATGAGTCATGAGATACCTTGTACATTGACCACAAGGGCAGAAACAATGAGTCATGAGATACCATGTACATTGACGACAAGGGCAGAAACAATGAGTCATGAGATACCTTGTACATTGACGACAAGGGCAGAAACAATGAGTCATGAGATACCTTGTACATTGACAACAAGGGCAGAAACAATGAGCCATGTGATACCATGTACATTGACAACAAGGGCAGAAACAATGAGCCATGAGATACCTTGTACATTGACGACAAGGGTACAAACAATGAGTCATGAGATACCTTGTGCATTGACGACAAGGGCAGAAACAATGAGTCATGAGATACCTTGTACATTGACAACAAAGGTACAAACAATGAGCCATGTGATACCTTGTACATTGACAACAAGGGCAGAAACAATGAGCCATGAGATACCTTGTACATTGACGACAAAGGTACAAACAATGAGCCATGTGATACCTTGTACATTGACGACAAGGGCAGAAACAATGAGCCATGTGATACCATGTACATTGACGACAAGGGCAGAAACAATGAGTCATGAGATACCTTGTACATTGACAACAAGGGCAGAAACAATGAGTCATGAGATACCATGTACATTGACGACAAGGGCAGAAACAATGAGTCATGAGATACCTTGTACATTGACAACAAGGGCAGAAACAATGAGCCATGTGATACCATGTACATTGACGACAAGGGCAGAAACAATGAGTCATGAGATACCTTGTACATTGACGACAAGGGCAGAAACAATGAGTCATGAGATACCTTGTACATTGACGACAAGGGTACAAACAATGAGTCATGAGATACCTTGTACATTGACAACAAGGGCAGAAACAATGAGTCATGAGATACCTTGTACATTGACAACAAGGGCAGAAACAGGAGTTGACATGTTGCCCTGTTGAGCACACTACAGTCGTATAGAAAAGTTACATTCACTTGGCAGCCAGCGGAGTTGATCTTTCTAACCTTTTTGAGCACATTATGGGAGTAAATCAGAATCTGTTAACTGCATTATAAGGGTATTAAGTGCAAGTAAAATACAGGTAGGTTTCATGACCTTTTGAGTTTGTGAAAATATTTTCAAAATGTCCCTACTGTGAGTGTACGACATGAACAACTTGCCCTTTGTAACATGACTGTTTGTTACATGACCTTTTGTAACATGACCTTTAGTAACATGACCTTTTGTAACATGACCTTCAGTAGCGACAGTAAGTGTAACAGTAAGGATTTTTAAATTGTTCTTCAAAATTACAGCAAATTGCATAAATAACGTTTCTTGTTTATGTATATAACTTCATATTTAAAACATGCTACATGACAGTGTCCCTACTGTTACATTACAGTGTCCCTACTGTTACATGACAGTGTCCTTACTGTTACATGACAGTGTCCCTACTGTTACATTACAGTGTTCCTACTGTTACATGACAGTGTTCCTACTGTTACATAACAGTGTCCCTACTGTTACATGACAGTGTTCCTACTGTTACATGACAGTGTTCCTACTGTTACATGACAGTGTTCCTACTGTTACATGACAGTCTCCCTACTGTTACATGACAGTGTCCCTACTGTTACATGACAGTGTTCCTACTGTTACATGACAGTGTTCCTACTGTTACATTACAGTGTCCCTACTGTTACATGACAGTGTCACTACTGTTACATGACAGTGTCACTACTGTTACATGACAGTGTTCCTACTGTTACATTTCAGTGTCCCTACTGTTACATGACAGTCTCCCTACTGTTACATTACAGTGTTCCTACTGTTACATCACAGTGTCCCTACTGTTACATCACAGTGTCCCTACTGTTACATGACAGTGTCCCTACTGTTACATGACGGTGTCCTTACTGTTACATGACAGTGTCCCTACTGTTACATGACGGTGTCCCTACTGTTACATTACAGAGTCCTTACTGTTACATGACAGTGTCCCGACCGTTACATCACAGTGTCCCTACTGTTACATGACAGTGTCCTTACTGTTACATTACAGTGTCCCTACTGTTACATGACAGTGTCCCTACTGTTACATTACAGTGTCCCTACTGTTACATGACAGTGTCCCTACTGTTACATGACAGTGTCCCTACTGCTACATGACAGTGTCCTTACTGTTACATCACAGTGTCCTTACTGTTACATTACAGTGTCCTTACTATTACATCACAGTGTCCCTACTGTTACATGACAGTGTCCTTACTGTTACACGACAGTGTCCTTACTGTTACATTACTGTGTCCCTACTGTTACATTACTGTGTCCTTACTGTTACATGACAGTGTCCTTACTGTTACATTACTGTGTCCCTACTGTTACATCACAGTGTCCCTACTGTTACATGACAGTGTCCTTACTGTTACATGACAGTGTCCTTACTGTTACATTTCTGTGTCCCTACTGTTACATTACAGTGTCCCTTCTGTTACATGACAGTGTCCTTACTGTTACATTACAGTGTCCCTACTGTTACATCACAGTGTCCTTACTGTTACATTACAGTGTCCCTACTGTTACATTACAGTGTCCTACTGTTACATGACAGTGTCCCTACTGTTACATGACAGTGTCCTTACTGTTACATCACAGTGTCCCTACTGTTACATGACAGTGTCCTTACTGTTACATTACTGTGTTCCTACTGTTACATCACAGTGTCCTTACTGTTACATTACAGTGTCCTTACTGTTACATTACAGTGTCCCTACTGTTACATTACTGTGTCCCTTCTGTTACATTACAGTGTCCCTACTGTTACATGACAGTGTTCCTACTGTTACATGACAGTGTCCCTACTGTTACATTACAGTGTCCCTACTGTTACATTACTGTGTCCCTTCTGTTACATTACAGTGTCCCTACTGTTACATCACAGTGTCCCTACTGTTACATTACAGTGTCCCTACTGTTACATTACAGTGTCCCTACTGTTACATCACAGTGTCCCTACTGTTACATCACAGTGTCCCTACTGTTACATCACAGTGTCCCTAATGTTACATTACAGTGTCCCTACTGTTACATGACAGTGTCCTTACTGTTACATGACAGTGTCCCTACTGTTACATTACTGTGTCCCTTCTGTTACATTACAGTGTCCCTACTGTTACATTGCAGTGTCCCTACTGTTACATGACAGTGTCCCTACTGTTACTTCACAGTGTCCCTACTGTTACATCACAGTGTCCCTACTGTTACATCACAGTGTCCCTACTGTTACATTACAGTGTCCCTACTGTTACATGACAGTGTCCTTACTGTTACATGACAGTGTCCCTACTGTTACATTACTGTGTCCTTACTGTTACATGACAGTGTCCCTACTGTTACATCACAGTGTTCCTACTGTTACATCACAGTGTCCCTACTGTTACATGACAGTGTCCCTACTGTTACATCACAGTGTCCCTACTGTTACATCACAGTGTTCCTACTGTTACATCACAGTGTTCCTACTGTTACATGACAGTGTTCCTACTGTTACATGACAGTGTCCCTACTGTTACATCACAGTGTTCCTACTGTTACATGACATTGTTCCTACTGTTACATCACAGTGTCCCTACTGTTACATCACAGTGTCCCTACTGTTACATCACAGTGTTCCTACTGTTACATTACAGTGTTCCTACTGTTACATGACATTGTTCCTACTGTTACATCACAGTGTTCCTACTGTTACATCACAGTGTCCCTACTGTTACATCACAGTGTTCCTACTGTTACATGACAGTGTCCCTACTGTTACATCACAGTGTTCCTACTGTTACATCACAGTGTTCCTACTGTTACATGACAGTGTTCCTACTGTTACATGACAGTGTCCCTACTGTTACATCACAGTGTCCCTACTGTTACATTACAGTGTCCCTACTGTTACATCACAGTGTTCCTACTGTTACATCACAGTGTTCCTACTGTTACATCACAGTGTTCCTACTGTTACATGACATTGTTC